TAATTTTCCTACTTGACAGATGCAACTGTCTTTCGGGTTGCAAAGGTCGACAACAAGCTACAAATTGGTCGGAAGCTCTCTCCAACCCGGCTGGCTTCGAACTCATGACCTTTTGGTCAGAAGTGATCTTAATGCAGCTGACACTCAGCCAGCTGCGCCCCAGTCCCATAGAAGTTGCTGCTCCGCGAGTTGAAAAACCTGTTGTATAAAAGCTGGAGGGAGATTCAGGCCAGTAAGTCCCTTTAAGGCATGGGAATTCTGCGTGGGAAGTTTGGCCCAATTCTATCGTGTATGGGGTTCAGAATGCTCTTTGACTGTAAGTGAGCTATACATCCCAGCAACTACAACTCCCAAATGTCAAGGTCTATTTTCCCCAAAATCCACCAGTGTTCCCATTTGGGCATATTGGTCCAGATCTATCATTGTTTGAATCCACAGTGCTCTCTGGATGTAGGTGAACTACAACTCCAAAACTCAAGGTCAATGCCCACAAACCCTTCCAGTATTTTCTGTTGGTCATTGGAGTTCTGTGTGCCAAGTCTGGTTCAATTCCATCATTGGTGAAGTTTAGAATGCTCTTTGATCATAGGTGAACTATAAATCTGAAAGACCTTGTCAAGCTGCAACTCCTCCAATCCCATAGCACTGAGCCATGGCAGGGAAAGTGGTATCAAATAACATTAGGCCTACAATTTAGCATGAAAACTGACAGTCAACAACCCATTTTGCCCCCTCTCTGGTGGTTTCTTTTGATTTTAATAATAATTCTTATTGAAAGAAAAATCATGATAGTATGGACAAACAGATGACGTGTCTCCTTTGGGAGAGGAAAAGTGGGATATAAAGAAATATAATTATGATGATCATGATTATTAAAATAAGGATACCCGGCGGTGCTTGGGTTATTTGAAAAGGGCACAGTTTGTTTTGGGGTGTTAGTTCATATAATAATAATATTTCTTTATATGGCCAGTCATATGACCATTTCAAAATAGAACACGGGTAAAAAAACAAGGCAAAAAGGTGAGGACATATCATTTACTTAATTAGTAACACTATTTATTAGGGAAAAGTCAGTCCTTGATTTCATTTTTTGTGAATGCTCCCATTAGAAAATACGCAACGATGTGGGTGAACTGCAGTTCCCAGAATCGTGGGTCAATCCTCTCCAAAGCAGGCCTGTATACACAGTTGGCTATGTTGGGTGTGTGTGCCAAGTTTGGTCCAGGTCCATCCTCAGTTGGGCTCAGTGCTCTCTGGATAAGGGTGAACTACAACTCCCATATGCCAAGGGCAGTCACCTCCAAATCCTGCCGATATTTACAGTTGGACAGGGAGCCCCAAGGAGTTTGTAATGTATTAATAGATCTATCCAACTCCGAGACAGGTTCACTAATACATTCAGAGGCGGCCCTAGGTAATTTTCAATGGTAAGCAAACAGTATTTTGGCGCGCGCCCCCCCAACCAATCATTGATATATATATTCTGTTTGTCGTGGGAGTTCTGTGTGCCATATTTGGTTCAATTCCATCATTGGTGGAGTTCAGAATGCTCTTTGATTGTAGGTGAACTATACATCCCAGTAACTACACTTGCCGCACTTGCTCCCTTGCCTGGCCCGCTTTGGGTCCAGAGGCATGCCTGAAGACCCCGGCGTGTGCACCAAAAGTCACCTCTTCTCCTGACTTTCTCCTCAGCCATTGGGACCAAGAGAGAGAGAGAGAGAGAGGTGGAGATGCCCACCTTTCCTGAAGGTAGGCGCAAAAACAAAGGAGGGAGCGGAGGTGGGAGATACCTCCAGCCGGAGGGGCTCTCTCTCTCTCTTTCTCTCTTGGTCCCAATGGCTGAAGAGAAAGTCAGGAGAAGAGGCGACTTTTGGTGCGCACGCTGGGGTCTTCAGACACGCCTCCGGACCCAAAGCGGGCCAGGTGCAGCGGCTCAGCCCCTTGGCCCACCCGCGGATTGGGGAGAGGAGAGGAGGAAGGCCGGGGGATCGGAAAAGGGAGCCGGTCATGTGGAAGGGATCGAACATGGAGAACGATTGAGCACCAGCTCTGCTCGCGCACCCGGTGGCCAGGTGGAGCAGGAACAAGAGGGGCTAGGCGAGGCTCAAGGGCCCGGCCCCTTTGGGAAGAGGATCGCCCAGCAGTGAGGCAAGAAAGCCAAGACTCCCCCCGGACTGCTAGGGCTGTTGTGAGCTGAGGGGGCGCTCCTCAAGTGGCAGGTCGAGGGGCATTTACAGAGGCACCTCTGTGCCCCTGGCAAAAAAAAAAGTGTTCTGCGACCGCTTACTTCGCGTAATGGACGAGCCGCCCCTGTCAGGTATGTGTGCCAAGCTTGGTCCAGATCCATGGGTGTTTGGATTCACAGTCCTCTCTAGATGTCAGTGAAATACAATTCCCCCAAATCAAGGTAAATTGTCCCCAAAGACCTCCAGTATTTTTTGCTGGTCATGAAGGCTCTATGCCAAGTGAGTTCCAGGTCCATCATTGGTGCAGTTCAGAGTGCTCTTAGATTGCAGGTAAACTATACATCCTAAGACCTGCAATTCCTATAAATCATGGTGATTTCGTCCCAAACATCTCTAGTATGTTCAGTTGCTGATCAATTCCTCTGCTTGCTGTGCCATAGAAAATAATAGGAAAGGGTTAGGGGAGAGGGTTACGGGAATCATGCAAATTCCACACCAATTGAGAGACTCAGAAACACTGGGATGCCTATGGTGGAGGAAACACATAAAATCTAGGATGACATTGTCACCATATGAAAGCCTTTACTTGGGTGGTGGGCAGCATGGTATTTGTGGAGGACATTGGCAGGGCTCTTGAACATGTACATGGCACCCAGTTTAACCTGCAATGTGATTGGAGGGAGGGCCATTGGTGTCTCCTGAGTAGTGGGAGCTAGAGCTGCTTGTGGAGGCAGAAGCTTGCCTGTGTAAGTGGGCATCCCAGCCACATACACACATACTTTCAGTATTCACTTTTATTATGGATATAGAATACTAGCTGTGCCCTGCCACGCGTTGCTGTGGCCTATAGTAAAACTTATCAAAGTTGAGGTAGATATCTGGACTATTATGAAAGAGAGGTACCTACCTATTCCTTCCCCCTTTTCCTCCCCTTTCTCTCCTTTCTTCCTTCTCTACCTCTTTCTTTCTTTCCTTCTTTCACTACTTGGTTTCATCCTTCTCTCTTTCCTTCATTCCCTCCCCCTTTCTTCCTTTGCCTTTCTTCCCTCCCTGTTTGCTTCCTTCTTTCACTTTTTATTTCCTTTTATTTCACCACCATCATAACAATAACAATAATGCAATGCATTGCCTCTGGGACCTGACACCTCTCCCATTCCCCCAGAGTCTAATAGGAATAATAGCATAATAATAATAGAAATAATAACCTTTACCCGCCACGTGTTGCTGTGGCCAAACTTCCCTCTTTCTCTCCTTCTTTCCCTCCTTCCTTCCTTCCTTCCTTCCTTCCCTCCCATCTTTCCTTCTCTATCTCTTTCCTCTCTTTCCCCTCTTTCCTTCTTCTCTTTCTCTCCTTCTCTCTTCTTCCTTCTTCCTCCCTCTTTCTCTCATCTTCCCTTCCTTCACTCCCTCTTTCCTTCCTGCTTCCCTTTTTTCTCTTCTCCCCTTCCTTCCTTCCTTTTCTTTCCCTCCCTCTGTCTCTCATTTCTTCCTCTACCTCTTTCCTTCCTTCCCCCTTTTTCTTTCTCTTCTGCTGTCTCTTTTTTCTTTCCTTCCATCTTTCCTTTTCTTTCTTTTCTTCTTCCTTCTTTCTCTAACTTTCCTTCCTTCCCCTTTTTCTTTACCTCCCTTTCTCTTTCTTCCTTCTTTCCTTCCTTCCTGTCTTTCCTGGATTTTGACAGGGCGGGAAGGGGCGGGGTGGGTTTGGAGGTGGCGTGAAGTAAAAGGAGGTAAGATTGGGGCAGGGGAGTGATGGAGCGTGGGGTTGTGTGTGTGTGTGCGGTGCGGCGGCGGGGGGAGTGATGGAGCGTGGGGTTGCGTGTGTGTGTGCGGCGGCGGAGGGAGTGATGGAGCGTGGGGTTGGATGTGTGTGTGCGGCGGCCGGGAAAGTGATGGAGCGTGGGGTTGTGTGTGTGTGTGCGGCGGCGGGGGAGTGATGGAGCGTGGGGTTGCGTGTGTGTGTGCGGCGGCGGGGGGAGTGATGGAGCGTGGGGTTGTGTGTGTGCATGCAGCAGGGTGTGTGTGTGTGCGGGAAGCGGCGTGGCGGGGCTTGGAGTGGGCATGGCTTCCGCAGAGGGAACGTTGGCCGGAAGGCTGTGTGTGCGCCCAGGGAACTTGCGGCTGGGCGCCAATGCGCATGCTCAGTTGTTTTGCTTTGTGAGTGTGTTGTTGTGTTGTTTTTCATTTTGAGTAGATATGTTTGTACCTTGTGGGTTGTGTTACGTGCATGGGAATTTTGGTTAAGTTTCGTTGGGTTTTTTTGAGTTTTGTGTGTGTTGTGTTGTTTTTCATTTTGAGTAGATATGTTTGTACCTTGTGGGTTGTGTTATGGGCATGGGAATTTTGGTTACGTTTCGTTGGGTTTTTTTGAGTTTTGTTGTTTTGCCGTTTTGTGAGTGTGTTGTTGTGTTGTTTTTCATTTTGAGTAGATATGTTTGTACCTTGTGGGTTGTGTTATGGGCATGGGAATTTTGGTTAAGTTTCGTTGGGGGGTTTTTGAGTTTTGTTTTTTGCCGTTTTGTGAGTGTGTTGTTGTGTTGTTTTTCATTTTGAGTAGATATGTTTGTACCTTGTGGGTTGTGTTATGGGCATGGGAATTTTGGTTAAGTTTCGTTGGGGGGTTGTGGAGTTTTGCTGTCCCGTTGAACCAACCTAACAGATTTATATATATAGATAGATACAGATGATGATGATGATGGTGATGATGACGACGACGATCATCATCATCATCGTCATCATCATCATCATCTTATCATGAAACATGGGGCCGGAAAGGAAGCTGGGAGATGAAAACCAAGCCAAACACAAGAGTTTTCTCAATATTTTTATTTCTGATGCAAGTGGCCACAATTTTTAAACAGATAGATAGATAGATAGATAGATAGATAGATACTCACTACCTCTGAGGATGCTTGCCATAGATGCAGGTGAAACGTCAGGAGAGAATGCCTCTAGACCATGGCCATATAGCCTGAAAAAACCTACAACAACCCAATGATTCCGGCCATGAAAGCCTTCGACAATAGATAGATAGATAGATAGATATTGTTTCAGTCTCCAAAGCTCGGAAGAAAGTTTTTAAAAAACCCAAACAAAACTGAGTTCTTGGCTCCAGCCTTTTCCCCATTAGAGGGTGGGGTAACTGGCCTGATTGGCCACACCACAGTGATTGGCAGCTCCTTTGACCAATCGCATGTAGCCCCCTTCACCCCAGTTCTCCGTCCAGCTGCAGAAGAGAAAGAAGGAGGAAAGTTTTGGTTAGGGAGCATCTGCACTGTCGGAATAATGTGCTTTAAGGGTCGGGATCCTGGGAGTTGTAGTTTGGCAGAGAAGCGCAAAGAAGTGCTAGATTGGCAGTTCGAATCTGCAAGATGGAGTGAGCTCCCATCTGTCAACTCCAGCTCCTGCCAACCTAGCAGTTCAAAAACATGATCAATAGGTAGATAGAATGGAATATAAATAAAGTGTTGTTGTTGTTGTGAAATGGTAACTCATGGCATGGAGCCATTGCAGTTTGTTCACCTCATCTCTTTGGCCACAAGACATTTGTTCAACCCTCTCATTTTGGAGGCGAATGGATCACGTGACTCCGCATTGGGATGGAAAGACGTGCATCGAGCCATAAAGATCGCAAGTTCCGATCCTCACCTGTTCTTCAGGATCCAGTAATCGGTATTTGCTCCTCCGTCCTGGATTGTGCCGTAGCCAACTGCCAACATGGCATGGTTCACCCATTGGCTGCACCAGCTGCTGGAAAAGACTCCTAGAAAAGATACAGGAAAAGGGGAACCAAAGGCAATAAATGGGGAGTGACATGAATCCTTTTAAGTCAGTGGTTCCCAACCTTTTTTTTGACCACTTGACTAGGGACCACTGTAACCAGGGACCACTCTCCAACATTAGTTATGAATCAGTTTTTGGTCAATTTTAGTTATTTAGGGTCCTGATTGGATAGACCACATCAGCTGTAGTTATTTGGGGTCCTGATTGGATAGACCACATCAGCTGTAGTTATTTGGGGTGCTGATTGGATAGACCACATCAGCTCTAGTTTCGGATACAGGACATATGCCATCCAGTAGTCAGCATCGGCCCACCCTCAGAAAACCATATTTAATCATCTAAAGCTGATATGGTAGTAGTAATCTTTCATGGATAGTCAGCCTCTTGCTACCCGACATCCCCATTGCCTCGGCGCTATAAGAGGGTTTTGCGAGACCAGTTACTCTCATTGCCGTGTGGTTTCAAGGCAACATTGTAGTAATGGTGAGGCCACAGAACATATTTTCGTTCTTGGGGACCACTGGTGGTCCACGGACCACAGGTTGAGAACCACTGTTTTAAATAGAATAATTGATTCCTTGAGTCGGAAGAGACCCCAAGGACCATCCAGTCCAATCCCATTCTGCAAGGAAGGAAGGCACCATCCAATTCCGCCTGACAGTGGGTCATGCTTCGAAACCACCAGAGAAGGGGATTCCACCATACTCCAAGTGGGTGGGTGGGGGGGGGGGGATATGTTGAATCAACAGTGTAGATGCAACCACTGAACCTCACCAGATTTGTAGAAATGGAAAAAGAAGCTCTGGGCGTCCACCGCGACGGAAACAGGCCCAACGGTGGCCACGGCGTGTTCCAGGGCCTCTTCGCTGCCGGATTGGATTCGTACCAAGGAGCTGCAGTTGGCCACCCGCGTCTGAGCATTGTAACGGCATCCCGATGCCTCCTGGAGGACGGGGAAAAATGTGAGAGCGCTGTCCTGTTCATTTTGATGGGTCATGCACTACACAGAGGAATTGACCAGCAACTGAACATATTAGAGAGGTTTCGGGAGAATTCACCATGATTTCTAGGAGTTGTGGTTACTGGGATGTATAGTTCACCTGCAATCAATGAGCACTCCGGGCAACGGTGGGTACCCAAGCTAGTTATCAATAATAACGCCCTAGGAAAATGAGATAGTCCCTCTCACCTGCTCCAGATAGGGATAGTCCTGCTCCGAGTCAATGCCTCCATTCTCACTGACGTACTCAAAGGCCTTGGTGATGTATCCTCCTCGGCATCCATGGTTCCCCATTTTCGAGGAGCAATCAATAAGGTTTTGCTCACTCAGTGGCACCAACTTCCCCGTCTTGTTGAAGAGTAGACCCTCCAAGGCTCCTGTGGCGCTGAATGCCCAACATGCCCCACAATGACCCTAGCACCAGAGACAGAAAACAAGGGGGCTTCTAAACTGTAGGCTTAACACAACTTAGCACCATTTGAAGTGCCACAGCTCCGTGCTCCGTGATCATGGGAGTTGCACTTTGGTTAAGCGCTAGCCTTTGCTTGGCTAGAGACACTCATTGGTTAACCTTGGGCAAGGCACCCTCTCTGAACCTCAGGGGAAGACGAGGGCAACCTCCCCGTTTTGGCAAACTATTGTCCATCTTGTATACACCCATCTTCTATCTATTCATGTTGCATCTATCCATCTTTTCGTCTGTCTTGCATCCATCCTGTATCCACCCAACATCTATCTATCTATCTATCTATCTATCTATCTATCTATCTATCTATCTATCTTGTATACACATCCATCTTCTATCCATGTTGCATCTACCATCCTTCCAGCTCTCATCTTGCATCCATCCATCATCTATCTATCTATCTATCTATCTATCTATCTATCTATCTATCTATCTAGTCTCTCTCTCAGCAGAATTGGTCTGTTAGTCTGTCTGCCTATCTATCTATCTATCTATCTATCTATCTATCTATCTATCTATCCATCCATCCATCACCATCCACATGTCCTAGGAAATTTGGGTGACATGCTGGAGGAAAAGAAGGGCGTTGGATAAGAGTGTAGGATAAAACGGAATGTTGGATAAGCGAAGGTCAGATAAGTGAGACACCACTGTATGTATCTATCCGTCTGTCATCTGCCTCTCAAGCCATCCTGAGAGTGGTAGTTGGCAGTCTTTGGCAGAGAAGGCGAAAGACCTTGCCAAACTACAAGGGCCAGGCTTTAGCACAGCAGGTTTACCGCCAGTTTGAAGCCCAAGTCGGAGTGAGCTCCTGGCCTTTAGCCTAGCTTCTGCCTACCTAACAGTTTCAAAAACAGCAATGTGAGTAGATAAATAGGTACCACTTAAAGCAGGGAGGTATTTAAGGCACCCAGAAAAATGCTGGCGATACGATCGAGGAGGCGGTTTACAAACAAAGTTCTTCAGCAAGGAAAGTGGAGTGACAGCATGCCCCTCACCCCACCACTGTGGTCGGAACTGAGCACAGCCTCCAAGATGCCGAAGATGGGAAAAGCCTATGTATATACCTCTATCTATGTACAGTTGTCTGTCTTGTCAGTGTATAATGGCATTGCATGTTTGCTGTATATGTGTTCTGTGATCCGCCTTGAGCCCCCTTTGGGGTGAGAAGAGCAGAATACAAATACTGTAAATCAATAAACAAATAAACTTCCAGGATCCCCTAGCCGTTCAAGTGGAGCCAAACTCCATCGGCTTTCAGCTCACCTGGCTTTTCACTGGTGTGACGTAGCCTTTGAGACGCCAGTCCACCTCTTTGGGAACCTCCCGGATGGACGGCCCTTGGAAAACGGCAACTCCCTTCCCGTACTTCGGGGCCGGATCTAGATAGAAGCCATTTAGCTTCTCATTGAACTCTTCGTCTGTCTGGGGAGGGAGAAGAGAGGGTTCCAGCCTGAGATGCATCTACACTGTGGAATTAATGCAGTTTGACACCACTTTAACTGCAGAAATGCAAAGCAGGGGCTCTAAGCCACACCACCCCCAGTTCTTCTGTGACATCATAGAAGCTCGGCCAATCTGGAAGGGCGGATTATTACCAAGTCTCCTAAGTGGTTCATAGCTAGGCGAAAACTGTGTCTCCCCAGGGAAGCCTCCATGTTGTGCTGCGCAATCCGCTGCCAGTTCTTCTCCCAGACGGAGCGGCGGAAAGCATCCTCCTCCTGCAAAGATCCCAATCCGGATTAGAAAAGTCCACCTTTGGTCCTATGTGGATTCAAAGTCCCCATTCAGACCTACCTAGAGATCAATTTGAGTCCCACCAAGAATAGAGAACATTGGATTGTTCCTTCCTTCCTGCTTCCTTCCACTTTGCTTTTCTCCTTTCTTTCTTTCTTTCTTTCTTTCTTTCTTCCTTCATCACTTTCTACTGACCTCCTTTATTGTTCTTTCTCTTTTGTTCTTTCCTTCCTTTCTCCCATTCCGTCTTCCCCCTTCATCCTTTCTTTCCTTTCTTGTTTTCCTTCCCTTCTTTACTATGCCTTCCTTCTTTACTTCTTCCCCAAATGAAGAAAAATAGAAAATAAAGGGGTGCATTATCCCGATATGGCCACTGGATGGCGACAAAGAGGTGCTTATGGCTCAGTGGCTTGAATAGAGCCATATCTAATTAAAGGGTGCAATGCTCGATGTGGCCACTGGAGGGCGGCAAAGGGCTACACATCTATGATGGATGTGTTGGAGCACTGGATTATAATTTGAAGAAAGCAGGAATGAATTCCTATTCACACTGCACATATCTTATTTGTAGTGCAAAAGACACATAAAAACAATATAATAAGGAGTTTAAGGAGCTCCATGGGCTGCCGTTCATTTTCCGGTCCCAATTCAAGGTGCAGGTTCTTACCTACAAAGCCCTGAACGGTTTGGGACCCGCCTACCTGCGTGACCGCATTTCTGTGTACGAACCCACACGATCTCTTCGATCATCTGGAGAGGCTCTACTCGCGCTCCCACCTCCATCGCAGGCACGATTGGTGGGGACGAGGGAGAGGGCCTTCTCGGTGGTGGCCCCCCCGACTCTGGAACTCACTCCCCAAGGATATCAGGCATGTCCCAACTTTGGCAATTTTTAGGAGGAGCTTGAAAACATGGTTGTTCCAGTGTGCCTTCCCAGAATAAGGAAACTCCCAGCAAGATGTCCACCGGGATTGTGGCGCAGCTGGCTGAGTGTCAGCTGCATTAAGATCACTCTGACCAAAAGGTCATGAGTTCGAAGCCAGCCTGGGTTGGAGTGGGTTTCCAACCAATTGTGTGTAGCCTGTTGTCGACCTTTGCAACCCGAAAGACAGTTGCATCTGTCAAGTAGGAAAATAAGGTACCACCTTAAAAAAGTGTGGGGAGGCTAAATTAACTGATTTATGAGGTCACAAAGAAGACTCCAGCAAAACATTCCAGCGGGGAAGCATGCGGGGAATGCGGAAGTGCTTCATCAATGTTGCAGATGGACGATGAAAGCGACAGCTCCCCGGCGGCCAGAAAAAGTTAAATATTATTATTATTATTATTAACTTTATTTATACCACGCAAAATCTCCCGAAGGACTCGATGCGGCTTACAAAGGCCAAGGCCGCCGACAACAACAACATACAATACACAATAAAACTCAAAAATAAAATAAAACTCATAAGCAAATAATAAACCTCAAGCAAACAATAAAACAGTAAAATAGCCTCTGTCTATGTCTGTATATGTTGTACGTCAAAATTGGCATTGAATGTTTGCCATATATGTGTACACTGTAATCCGCCCTGAGTCCCCTGCGGGGTGAGAAGGGCGGAATATAAAAGCTGTAAATAAAATAAATAAATAATAAATAATTGCACCTAATTAGTAATCTAGAACTGTCTGTACACCCCATTGTTTTCTGAAATTCTATCCTAGTTATATTTCACCTGGTCTTGTCCAGCATTATTTTTAAATTTTTAACTATTACATTTGGCCCAGCCATTGGTTTTTAAATGTTATTGTGTTATTGTCGATGTTACTACCTACTTTTTGTTTATGAGCTTTATTTTATTGTTTTGTATTACTGCTGTTGTTTTTTGCTGATGTATTGAGGGCTCATGTAAGCCACACCGAGTCCCTTGGGAGATGGTAGCGGGGTATAAATAAAGATTATTATTATTATTATTATCTTGTTGTTCATTCGTTCAGTCGTCTCCGACTCTTCGTGACTTCATGGACCAGTCCACGCCAGAGCTCCCTATCGGCCGTCACCACCCTCAGCCCCTTCAAGGTCAGTCCAGTCACTTCAAGGATGCCATCCATCCATCTTGCCCTTGGTCGGCCCCTCTTCCTTTTTCCTTCCACTTTCCCCAGCATAATTGTCTTCTCCAGGCTTTGCTGTCTCATGATGTGGCCAAAGTACTTCATCTTTGTCTCTAGTATCCTTCCTCCAGTGAGCAGTCGGGCTTTATTTCCTGAAGTATGGACTGGTTGGATCTTCTTGCGGTCCAAGGCACTCTCAGAACTTTCCTCCAACACCACAGTTCAAAAGCATCGATCTTCCTTCGCTCAGCCTTCCCTAAGGTCCAGCTCTCACATCCATAGGTTACTACAGGGAATACCATGGCTTTGACTAGGCGGATCTTTGTTGCCAGTCTGATGTCTCTACTCTTTATATTTTATCGAGATTGGACATTGCTCTCCTCCCGAGAAGTAAGCGTCTTCTGATTTCCTGGCCACAGTCTGCATCTGCAGTAATCTTTGCACCTAGAAATACAAAGTCTGTCACGGCCTCCACGTTTTCTCCCTCTATTTCCCAGTTGTCAATCATTCTTGTTGCCATAATCTTGGTTTTTTTGATGTTTAGCTGCAACCCAGCTTTTGCGCTTTCTTCTTTCACCTTGATTAGAAGGCTCCTCAGCTCCTCCTCGCTTTCGGCCATCAGAGTGGTGTATTATTATCTATATATATTAAAATGTTGTTGTCATCGTGAGTGGGTTAAAAACGAAAAAAATACAGGACCAAATATCACCAAATTTGGCCTCGAAAACCCTCATACCCCAAGGTATGACCAACAATCATAAAAATTAAAAGAAAGCACCAAAAAAACTAATAAATTCTAAAAAAAGGAGAGGACTACATGGAGCATGCGCACAGGGGTGGGGAGGGTGCACGCACGCAGGAGAGCTCCTCCATTGCCTCTCTCTCTCACCTCGGCTAAACAGTCCTCCTTGCTCTGGCCACTTGCTTTCCCCACCCCCATTGGCGTCTCCTCCTCATCGCCGAAAGAAGCAGCAGCCGGCAGGGAAGGGAGATAGGGAGGGAGGCGGGGAGAAGCCCCGCTGCTCAGAGGGAGGGAGGGAAGGAAGGAGGGAGCCCCACAGGGGGCTGCTGTGCTACTGGCAGTGAGGGCAGACCTCCGTGTACATTGCTGGCAGCTCCAACAGTGCAGGAGGGAGTCGGTTTGGGGAGAAGTGGGCCCCGAGCAGCCGCACCAAATTGAGCACTCCCACTCCCTTTGCTGGTAAAGGTGTGTGTGCATGTGCCTGATACAGATTATTATGAAGCTGAGGCTGGCCATCTGTCAGGAGTGGTTTGGTTGTGCTTCTCCCATATGGCAGAAGGCAGGCCCGTAGCGAGGCGGGGGGGGGTTTAGGGGTTCAAGTACATCAAAAAAAAAAAAATGTTCAAAAAATAAACAATAAAAACAATTCAACCCCCCCCCCCAATGTTTCAGATTTTTTTAAAAAACCTGGTTTACTCATGAATTTTAACTGGTTAACCAAACCCCCATGCTAAGTCTATGAGATGCAAAAAATCAAGAGTCCCTCCAGAACTGCAAGCACTATCTCAAGCAATTTATTCACACTGTCATTACTTGCAGCAATAGCCGATGTAGTTGTTCTGGTACAGCTTTACCAGGAGCTCCAACTTTATTTGCTTTGTATTAAATGTTTGCTTGCAGTCCTAGGTTTCAGGGACTCTGCAGATAAGTGGCTTCTTTGGTTGCAGTCATAGGGCAAGTCACCTGTCCATCATTGTTAAGTTTTGGTCCTGCCCCTTGCTCAGGGCAATTGGGAAGGGAAGGGAGCCATTTTTAGTCAGTCTCAACAAGGTAAGCTTATGTATAGGACGTGTGCAAGCTTCCCCTGTACAAAGTATTCAACCCTTAAGACCTTCCGGGGGAGAAAAGTCTTAAGAGTCTCCAAAGAATTTCCAGGAAAACAGCCCTAAAGACCAAAGAACTCCAGCTGGAGAACATCTACTGCATTGCTGGTAGGTCCACTCGGCGTTCAAGATGCAGTTCGACCCGGTAGCGGAGCCCACATCAGTAAGGGTTAGATTACAGTCAGCCTGGGAGAAGTTAAAAAGGGGATTTTCCTTTAAAGAAGAAGTTATTGAAGACAGTTGCCTGTCCTTCGTGGGCAAGATTAGGAATTCACCTGTTGCCTAAAAGCTTGGAATCATTTGCTTAACTTTACTGAAGACAAGAGAAGTTTCTGATTGATTGTTCATTAATAAAAGATTTTGTTGTACTTCTCAAGCCATCTAAAGACTGTTTGCGGTGGAAACCTCTGAGAACTTCTCTTTAGGCCCGCTGACTTCCCGCTGGGCAAAGGTTGCACATCCTGTTCTAAAGACAATTATTTACAGGCCCAGCGCGCGACAGAACAGTAGTGAAGCAACCAAGTTTGGGGGGGGGGGGTGTTGAATGCTCTCATTAAGGAGGCCAGACTTGGTGGAGGTGGTTGACAAGGGCGGAGCTGCAGGCTATTGAAGGCTGCTCTGCCCCCTGCTGTGCTCTTTGCTTCAGAGTGAGCTAGGAGGCAGGTTTCAACCCCCCCCCCTGCGAAAATTTCAACCCCCCCCCCAAAAAATTTCAACCCCTCTCAAAAAAAATTTCTGGCTACGGCCCTGGCAGAAGGGGCTGGACTGGATGGCCTTTGGAGGTCTCTTTCCACCCTACTACTCTATTATTAACCAAAGTCTGAATGGCCATCTGTCAGGAGTGCTTTGGTTGTGCTTCTCCTATAAGGTAGAAGGGGCTGGACTAGATGGCTCTTGGGGGTCTCTTCCCTCCCTTCCTATCTCATCACTTTCTCTTCTGGGCTTGGTGTCACCGCCAAAGGGATCCCTGCTTGGCACAGAGACAAGAAGGTGAGCAGGCCACTGAATCCCCACAGGGAGAGAGAAAATGACTAAGGGAGAAAGGAAA